AAGTTTTTTTTCAACAGTACGTCAAACTCCAAGTTCATGGTCAATGGGTCAAAAATGTTGGTATCGAAAGAAAGGCTTTCTCACAAGGAATACACTTGTAAAGTTTGAAAGCCCCAGCTCCAAGTGTTCAAAAGTTGTGGCCAAGGTTAAAGTCTCAAAAAAAAATTGCTAAAGTGGGTCAAACCCCAAGGTCAAGGTCAAAAGGTCAAATGTGATGGTACCCAAAGAAAGGTCTTGTCACAAGGAATACATATGTGAATATGAAAGCCATAGCTCCAACCAATCAAAAGTTATGGGCAAGGTTAAAGTTTTTGCGAAAAGACAGACAGACAGCTAGACAGCCAGACAGCTAGACAGACAGGGCAAAAACTATATGCCCCGAATCTTCGATTACGGGGGCATAAAAACAAAACAAAAAAAAACAAAAACAAAAACAAAAAAAAAACTTTTTTTTTTTAATTTGGTTCGAATGTTATGAAAATTGTACCTAATTGAAGTTTTCAAATCGGGACCTAATTTCTCCTTTTAGGGTCAATTGATTAATAATGGAAAAAAATGACTCTTAAGGAAATCTGGAATATTTTAATTTTATAATCTCGTCCGCTTTTAGATATGTCGGACTAAAACGAATTCGGACCAGAAGACAACAAAGTAGGACTTAAGTAGCTGGCTGACTAATACATGTAATGATAAAAAAGGAACAATGATAATAATATATAGAAATTTAAACGACAGCCCATTACATAAAAAAGAAATCAGACGACCGTTCAGACATGTATATATTTGCTTTAATGAAAAGACAACGACTACCAAGAAATAGAAATATTAAGTTATCAGTGTCCTAAAATACAAAGCTAAATATGGCATCCTTTATCAAACGGTACATAAATTATCGAATGCTGATTTGATTTTTATTTTTTACATAATCGATAACAATAATGGATTTTTGTTTACAAACAAGTATAACAGATAGGACATTCTGAAAACAATCACAATATAGATATTTTTCCCATTGTGGATATTTTATTGATTCGTTTTCTGTGGGTTATCATGAAATCATCGCCCATCTTGAATTTGTATAGATTGCATGAACATGGGCGGAACAAATATACAGTTGGTGTATAAGACATTTTTGGGAATGACCAAATCAAATCCGAAATTTATTCAAAATTTTGCCATCTCTATTGCCAACATGGAAGTCAGTGCAAAAATCATAATACATGTAATATAAAGTAAAAAAAAAAGTCTAATAAGAAAGGTTTTCGGGCTTGACCCTGCCATGGGTCCGACAAAACACATATTGCCCTCGAACCCATTCAATAAATGTGCGGGGATTATACTAACTGCGCATCGCGTTGATTTTTTTTTTTTGGGGGGGGGGGGCAAAAGCAATTGATCGGTAAATTAAAACAAAAGAATAGATGCATAAACTATGATAAATAACTTCTGTAATATCGAGTCTGTTTCTATCTAAATATACCTCTGTATGGTTTTAGAATCTAACATACAACTTGGGAAAAAAGTACAAAAAATAAATAATTAAATAAACAACAATAGCAAACTCCATTGACTTTGTTGTATCGTTTGGTTCACAACTTCCTTTACCCGTGCGTACACGAGTGAATATCTGGTGTCTATATAAATATTGATACCCTACCCACCCTCTAGTTAATATTCATGTCATCTTTATGCGTAGTTCCATACATTATTTTAATATTACATCCAGCTTTTATTTAATCGCTATTTAGTAAATTGAATTCCATTACCTTTTGTTACCATTTCGAGAAATGATTTGACCAAAATACATTTATGTGATTCATATAGGTCTATACAGGTGTATTTCTTTTATTTTTATGGAATTAACACATGAAAATCTAGATTTTGAATGGGACTGATGAGTATTGCATATATTTATATAGAGAGGCGCATTGTTTAATCTATTGATAATTTGCCAATACGTCTTCTTAGAGACCTAGCCTCTATTTTTCATTATGATAACTCAAACCAATATTCATTAGCACGTAACCTGTGTGCATTGCAAATATTGGCGAAACCATTGTGGAGTCAATTTTGAAAAAATGACGTGTAAATTGTTTTATATTGTATGATTATCGACACAGGTAATGAGTTGTAAATGAATTAGATGTAAAATCATGTAACAGTTCGTATTCCACAAAGTGTAAATACTGCATTTTTATCTGAACTGCTACTTTTTTTTTCATTCGTCTATCGTGCACATTTAGCATAACTCGGACCACTGTCGCTTAGTTAAGGAATGCTAGGCCCAATTGAATGTATTGGAATGTATTGGAATTCGAGCAACGTGTAAAAAAATTAATACAGACCAGATCTTCATAATATTGATCTGATGACTTTATCCTTTATACGGATTTTTCAGCGATGCCTGATGAGTTATATTCTATTATATAGGTCTAGCAACACACCGTCTCATACGTGTGTATTGCATGCTGTAAATATGAAACCTTTTTTCAAAATAAACATAGTCCGTACGATATCACCATGTTAATTTTTGGGATGTAAAATGTTTTTAAATCGATGAAGAGGTGATATTATGCGGACTAAGAAAACGCTGATTTTTAACGATTTTTTTTCCCGGAAATACGCATTCTGTCCATGTCTTAACCACGAAAATATAGTAAACAGGGGACACATTCTCAAAGTTTTGATTTATCTATTTTAACAAGCATATATCCAACATGTATTTTCACTGTGAAGTTTTGATTCAGCGTGAACTTTGATTTTTGTTATGTCTTAACAGTGAAAGCACTACTAGGTGCAGATCAAACATATAATTATGCAATATTGTTTACAATATATACGTAAACCTATTTTTCTTTCGTATGTCTTTTAATGGAAAAGAAAGAAATATATGCGATTCACACATGTAGCTGGAGTCTTCCTAAGGTATGTTACGGGCTGCAACTGATGTTTTGTATTCCTAATTCTCTATTGCTTAAACAAAATAAAATGAAAACGTCTCAGTAAGTTCATAACACTTGTATCATGTGCTTTTACACCAAGGTTAAAAACTTTTTTTTCATTCAATTCAATCAAATTTAATAATTATATTCTGAACAATACAATGTTGTGGTAATGCTATGAAAATCTATTCAAATATAATTGTGTTCATCAAGAAGTTTAAAAAGTTAGAAATCATTATGTTAAATAAAAATCTAGGATATACTTTAATAAAGACAAACATCAACGAATCAACAGAAAGCACGTATTCCTAATATATCTAAAACCAATCATATTGTGTATATTCATTTTTGGCGATATACTTTCGGACTTTTGAGAGATTAAAGTGTTCATTAAAACGGCTGCCGTTAAAAATATTTCTTCATAACACTATCACACACACAAAAAAAATCAAGATTACTGATTAAAGATTTTGCCATAAGGACCAAAGGAACATACATACTGAAAACGCCTCTAGTATAAGTAAACTGTATATTCTCCTAAACCTACAAAAGAAAATATTACTTTGTACCTCTAATTTTTTAATTCGTGGAGGATGTGAATTCGTGGATGAAAGGTTCCCACCAGTGGTTGATGGTCTGTTTCTAGTAGAAATTCCTTTCCATACAAATATCTACGAAATTTTTGAACTGCCCAGATCATTCCTTTTCAATTGTTGAGTAATTTACCTGACATTTGGACAGTTTCTTGCTAGCGTATGCGACAGGTTTTTTCATACCATTCTCGTACTGGATCAAAACTGCCCCAACACCTCGATCTGATGCATCTGTTTGCTTTTTTGTTGAAGGCTGGGAAAAGTTGTGAATAGCGGAAACTTTGTCGGGAAGAGGTCTAAGTTCTTCGTTGCCCGCAATATGTCCAAGACACTCAAGGTTTCGGTAACCAATGAAACACTTGCTTGGTTTTGCAGTCAAATTTGCTGCACGAAGTCTTTGTAGAAGATTCTGAATCACATTGATGTGTTCCTGGAAAGTACAAGTATATACAATCACATCATCAATAAAGTTATCCACACATTGCATTCCATCTAAGAGTCTTCGCATCAGCCGACTGAAACTTGCGGAAGCGTTTATCAAGCCAAAGGGCATCACCCTGAACTGAAACAAACCAAGTGGAGTTTGGAAAGCGGTGATCTCCTTCGCTGCCTCATCCAATGGTAGCTGCCAGTATCCTTTAGATAAATCAAATTTGGACACATATTTACAGCCAGAGAGTTGCACATGGATATCATCAGCATTAGGAATAGTTTCTGCATCGAAAACAGTTACTTTATTAATTGCACGAAAATCGATACAAAACCTGTTCGAACCGTCTTTCTTCTTTACGATGACTATCGGGGAACTGTATGGACTTGTCGATGGCTCGATCACGCCAACTTCCAACATCTTCTTTACCTCGTCACAAACAACGTCTCTTGAAATAAACGGCAGAGGATATGGCTTGGTGCGGATAGGCTGGTCATTAGTCAGCTTGATATGGTGAACACCGAGATTCGTCAAACCAGGTACATCTGTTAAAACATCTGAAAAATCGTCTAGTAATGCCTTGATGTCTGCTTTCTCATTTTCAGTTAGTTCATCACTTACTTTCACATCTGTTGGTACCTCCTTTCTCGTTTCACCTGGGGAATCGCACAACATCTCATCATCACTTTCTCCATCATCATCTAGATCAAGAACACCTGCACCTGCAATACCTAGAACACCTGTTTCGTCATTTTTGTCGCTTTCTCTGTCAATGTACAACTTCAACATGTTTGCATGAAATGTTTTAATTTTTCCATTCACGTTTATTCTGTAATCGACTTTTCCTACTTTTTCTATAATTTCATATGGCCCTTTCCATTGCATTTGTAATTTGTTACTGGCAGTTGGCAAAAGAATAAGAACTTTCTCACCTTTTGACATTTGTCTGTTCTTTGCTCCCTTGTTGTAATACTTCCGGTATTTCATTGACGACTTCTGTAGATTCTCTCTCGCAATTCTGCAAGTATCTTCAAGTCACTCCTTCAAATCTACAACATACTGGTATGTAGTTCTCACTTCTGAATCTACTACTTCTTTAGTCCACAACTCTCTCAAGATCTTCATAGGTCCTCTAACTTCATGTCCGTAAACCAACTCAAACGGTGAGAATCCTAGACTCTCCTGAGGAGCATCACGGTATGCGAACAACGATGCTGACAGGTACTTATCCCAATCCGTTGGACGTTCCGAACATAACCGTCGTAGTATCTGCTTTAACGTACCATTAAACCGCTCTACTAGTCCATTGCACATGGGGTGATATGGCGTCGTTGTTAACTGTCGTATAGAAAGTAAACGACTGACCTCTGTCATCAGCTCGGATGTAAATTGTGTCCCCATATCCGTGAGCATTTCCTTTGGTACCCCAACTCTACAAAATACATCTACTAGAGCCTCAGCGACTCGTTCAGTGTCAATTCCCTTAAGAGCAATTGCCTCCGGGTAACGGGTAGCAAAGTCAACAACAGTCAAAATGTAACGATTACCCTTACTTGTTGCTGGCTGGATAGGTCCTACCAAGTCTACAGCTACACGTCTGAACGGTACTTCAATGATAGGCATATCTCCGAGTGGAACCTTTGTAGTCCTGCCTTTTGGAGTGGTTCGTTGACAGATGTCGCATGATCTGCAGAATCGACGTACGTCTGCTTGAACTCCCGGCCAATAAAATTCTGCTAGAACTTTGCTGGCTGTCCTAGAAGTACCTAAGTGACCTGTCATAATAGACTCATGAGCGAGAGAAAGAACTTTAGTCCTAAATTTCTTTGGTACAACCAACTGTGTAAATCGTTTACCATTCTGATATTTATCTGACTGGAAAACACGATAAATGATACCTTTCTTACTGATGAAGGTTACCTTGGAGTCGTCGTCTTGGCCCACCAAAGAACGTATCTTGTTTAACGTCTCGTCTTTCTCCTGTGCTGCCTTGATGTCGTCGGGACGGATATCAGCGTCAATTATTTCTGGAACACAAAGAGATTTAGTCCTCTTACCTTCCTTTTGAGCTTGTTGCCTAATCACAACTGCATGAGCTTGATTAGGTGTCCAGTCTTTATCTGGATCCTTTGGATCTCTTGCGTTCGGGATGTTTCGGAATACAATGGATTTTCTAAACACCAAGCGTCTATTTCTCCCACAAAGTATGGAGTGTCTATTTTCACTCGCGCAACAGGTGCTTGAATTCTAGATCCATCCGCCAGAATGCAAATTCGATGATTTCCTGTAAGCTGAACATCATCTATCAAATTCCTGCGAACTACAACGCCGTTACAACCAGTGTCCCTAAGCACTGTCACAAAATGTTCATTTAATTTGCCATTACAGGAAGGCATATCTCCAAGAGATGCACTAACGTTACATGATGAAGTGTTTACAAGGTCCATAGAATTTGATGCCATTGAAAATGTATATGTGCTTGTAAAGGAAGTAAATGATCCACACTTGCCTTGTAATTCCGAGTTCTTCACCATAGATTCCTCCTCTGTTCGATCAACGACTGCATTCACTGAGTTCCGGTTCTTTTGAGTCTGATGGCACTGAGACGCTATGTGGCCCAGTCTGTCACACTTGAAGCAACGAACATCTTTCTTCATCGGCGTCTTCATAGGTTGAGTCTTCCATCCTTGTTTCTGCTCCCGTTGGTCTTGTTCTCTCGATGCCTGACGTTTTTCTGGGGTATTCTCCTTCTTGCTATAATGAACTAGTGTTTGAATATTTACATGTCTTGCCTCTCTATACTGATCGGCTAAGGCACACATTTCTTTGATGTTTTTCGGTATACGTTCTTTTAAAAATAATGTTAATTCTTTGTTACACATAAACAAAAACTGGTCTCTAAGAAACATATCGTAGAGGCCCTCAAAAGTCTTGTCTACTCGACCAAGCTCAATCCACCTATCGAGATAACTACCGAGACGAACAACAAACTGTGAGAAAGTTTCCCCTACCTCAGGTCTACTCTTACGGAACTTTTGACGAAACCCATCCTCCGTCTTTTCAAACCTCTTTAATAACGCCGTCTTCAAAGCATCATAGTCCAAAGCTTTCTCCTGTGGCAGCAGTGCATACACATCCAGTGCACGACCTCTGAGTAGTGCGCTTAAGTTAACAGCCCAACTGTCTAACTTCCATTTCTGTGCTGCAGCATACCTTTCAAAACGTCTCAAATAAGAATCAATATCATCCTTAACTTCATCGAAGACAGGCATTTTTGGAAACTTTGCATTGCTAGAGTTTTCTGATTTCATTTCTAACTCTTTTACAGCTAACTTTTGCTCCAATATTTGAATAGTATGCATGAGTTTACTTTCAATCTCTTCCATACCTTTTTTCTCCTGGAGTTTGAGTTTCTCAATCTCAAGCGCTTCTTTACTTAGAACATACTCTCTATCCTGCTTCTCTTTCTCTCTCTCAGCAGCTCGTAGTTCACGCTGATGTGCCTGTTGTTGCTGTATAAACTGCTGTAGGTCCGCACCAGTCAAGTTAAGGCTTTGACCATATTCTGTTATCTCTCTTAAAGACTCCATCATAATAGTAAATACTAAATGATTAAATATGATAAATATTGCTTCAACCCAGTAAAACAACATTGATTTCCCAAACAAAATGTCAAAAATCTCTCTCAAAAATGTATACTTTTAAACAAAAAAATATTTGGTATACAAACTCAATTCATACAAAGCAACGGTAACCTAGCTTTCTCCATTCGGGGCTCCATCCATAAACCAAGCACTAACACTCCGAAGTTGTCAAAAAAAACCAACAAAATCTTTGACTGCAAAAACAACAAAAATGATTAAACAAAATAACAAACTTGCCATATACAAATATACTGCTGACTGAACAGATTTATCCCACTTCTGACACCAATTTGTCACGACAGCCGTCGTGTTCTGTTCAGTCAGACACAACAAGATTTTTTTTTATCTATTTACATTTTTTTTATATATAAATAAAATCAGTATTAACAATATTTACACCATATTTATACAGCTATAATTTACAATATGTATATCTTAAAAGTCTCTTTCAATCCACGTCATCCTGATGTTTGCTCACAACCACGCATACGTCCAGACACGCCCCGTTTCACGACGGACTCCCGCCAACTGGCTCCCAGTGGGTCTCCGGTCTGTTGAACGTCATTGCCAACACACACATGACTAGATATTATTAGGATTTTATCAGGAACCTTTAAATTAAATAACATTTTTAAGTCACAGGTTATGTATACCTTTAAAAAAAGACTAGTCACCATTGACTATCATTGCACAAATGGCACACCGTACAAACAGTAAATCTAACCAAACACTGTTATATATGTAGACAGCGTTAAGAATACACAATTTCTTAACACAAGTGGTTTTAACAACTAAACCCACGACACCGACTGTATAAGCGGCAAAAAAAACCAAAATACATTGCGTGCGTACATAACTTAGTACATGCACAAAACCAGAACATTACACGCATGAGTAACTCTACTCAGCAAAACTTGCATACGTAAACAGTAACAAAAACATTACTTAACCCGTTTTCTTACAAAGTTAACAAATCTTAATGCAATATCAAAACACTAAATAATAAGAAAATTTAACTTACCCCTCATGGAGAAAAGGTTACCGTTGTAAAAACTACCTATCTACACATCTTGGATTGTACGTCAAGCATGTAAAAAGTATGAAAACGTGGACCCCGGCTACCTGGTCAGCAATGCAGCGATTTTAATACTCTAATTACAATAGGCTGTAACTGACCAATGCCTGCAATTTCTAAATTTGAGGTTCATTACAGGTAACAGAATAAAGAGGTCCCGTAAAGGAAAAATAATAATTAAAAAAAAATCATAAACATAAATAAAACAATAAAATAATAATTTTGATTGTGACAATCATTATATCGATCAATCATCTATGTAAATCAGCAGGTACAGTAACATAATAAAATTAACACACCGTGCACTCCATACATGTTAGGACTTGAATGAGATAATTAAGACTGAGGGGAAGATTGAATGAAGACTTAGGTTAAAACCAGTTTTTAGAATATTTTACTCTACTTTCTATACTTGTTATCATTTACAACCATTCTACCGATCCAATTTAGAAAATAGTCTTATTTCCCCTTGATCACTTTCTAATACAACCACAAATAGATCGCGATCGGCCGCTCCTGTGGATTTAAAAGACAAAGATCACTGAAGGATGTATATAAAAAATGATATATAGAAACACCATTTTAAATGAGGAAATATGAAAGATCGTACCGTAAAAAAACAATAGCACAGGGAAGTAGCTTTTGACATAAAATGGTAAAAATAAGTATATATATAATTTATACTATAACTATAATTGTAAAAATAACTATAATTTAAAAATCAGTGACACTGATACAGGAAAAGGGAGGGGGGGGGGATTCACCTATTGTTTAGAGTTTCGTTCCATATATTGTTTTATTATACCTCTACTCTTCTTACTCTATATAAAATTAATACCATAAAACTGTCTATTTCCCCGAGAAGATACTATTTCCCTCATCTGAGGACTACTCCCTGAAAAATCAGAGCTACTCCCTGGGACTACTCCCTCATGAATATTTATTATTAATTTAAACCAATTAAAATGAACAGTGGGCGGAGCGTTCAAGGAATCTCGAGTCCGTGACGTAATGTTATTAGCAATGTAACTATGACGTCAAAACATTTCGACATACGATGTCAAAATCATACTGGAATTTCTAAGCAAAAAGAGGACAACGATAATCCTTCGAAATGTTAGTGAAATTATTATTTATTTTAAATAATTTTATTTTTCCGTATTGATGCATTACATATTTAACAAAATTGGAATCACGCGCATTTTTGATTATTTATATAAATGCCTCTATATTGTTTTAAAAATGTCTAAGTCTCTAGTTGATAAATCTCCTTTGTTTGTTTCGGTATAATAAAACAGTTATGGAATGGGTACTCGGGAAATAGCAAATTTATGGTTCCCCTCGGCAGGAAATTATTTCCCTCGGCGGCTTCGCCGCCTCGGGAAATAGTTTCCTCCCTCGGGGAACCATAAATTTGCTATTTCCCTCATAACCATTCCATAACTGTATACTATATTCATTTTCTATAATTTCTTAAGATGAAATATGAAGATGACGAACAGTAATCAATCTCAAATGTCATAATGTAATAAGCAAACAAGGACCTCTAAAACATCAGAAATGGGATCAGGTGCCATGGAGGAAAAAGTATGCCCTGCTGACTGATCACACCCGCCGTATGTTGGTTGATGCCCTTTATGCAAACTGTTTTTCAATCTTTCACACCAAATTGTTTACGATTTTTTTCCGTTTGCCCGACTGGCATGGAGCACACGGGTTCAAAGACATTCGATATCTTTACTTCTATCGTAACAAAAATTGCATTAAAATAAGAATGTAACATATTTTGGGTGTATTTGCACTATTCGGCTGAGAGAGGTTGCAGATGCAAAGCTCTGAAGATAAAAATAAACATAGAAGCTGGTCACTAGGGTTTGACTTTTTAGCCTGTACGGTTCTAAGAAAATGATACATTAAATTGGAATGCGGTTTGTTACTTGTTTATCAAAAGATGTATTTGGTAAGGAGAAAAGAGCAACCAATAGTATTGAGGTGACCATAGGTCAGTTGTTAGTATAAATTAGCTACAACAAAGAATATTTAATGTTTATGCAAAAGATAGAAAATGATTTTTAAAGTGCATTAAGAAATTAAAGAGTGTTGGAGGACAGAATAATGGTAATTGAAATTCAAGTTAAAATTTAAAGTAATTATGGCAAATTTCGAGGGAGTTACAAATATGGAGATGTAAAACTACAAGGGTACACCTGGTATAAAATGAGCGGACGGGCAGACGCATTCAGTCAGAAACTGGATTGTGTCTGTCTCTGCTTGCATTTTATACAGGTGAGATCATTTTGTAGACTTGCGCGTTTTTATAAAACTTAAGTAAAATTTTCAGATGGCTAATGTTATTTACAGGTTAAAATATTTAGATTATAAGTAGTAATGTTTATTATATTGTTTAGTATCTTATTATTTCTTGTAATCATTAATAGAAAAAAAAATGGATTGTTTAATTTAATAAAGTCAAAAACTGGATTGTGTCTGTCTCTGCTTGCATTTTATACAGGTTGGGTAACAGTGCCACACCTTAACACCTGTGAGCCGCTCTGGTGAGGGAAGGTCCTTAGATTTTGAGGGAAATTGGAATTGTAATATTCCAGGGTCATTTCGCAGAAATAAAAAGTTGACTTGGGTCACTTCGACCAAGCTCAAGGATTATAAGAGTTATTCCACTTGGTGCGTCCTCTCACTGGCATAGCCAAAGATCCCGGGGTATACAAACAAATGCATGATCGGCCCAATGTCATTCGGGACTCTGCCTCCTCAAACTTCAATGGTTGAGGTGTAGGGAATCAAAACAATTAGGCTGGAGTCCGGAATGAGGTTGACCCGGTTATGATACTTCTATAAGACAATAACTATGCATTATCTGGGTCTTTGAATGGAATATAGTTATACAAAAACTTTGGTAAATTAGCTAGTATGCTTTTTTCACTGCTCTGCAATCAGCCTCTACTGTATTTCATCTCATTTTTTCAATTCTATACACCACATAAAAGGTATATGTACGTGTAAAAAAAATGATAATTTAAGATCACTGAAAGATATGAAAAGAGTAAGATCCTAAAATTTATAATGACTCTTGTCTTGAAACCATACCAATGCATGTTTATTTTTATCCCATTCGATCCAAAAATTTGCAAAAAAGGATTGTTGATTATCACAGACGAGAAAGAATTATAAAAGACAAACAGGTTGTGACTGACCCTGAAATCAAAACAAACGGATATATTCAGAAATTTGCATTGGTGTTCATGATATTATAAATTTTTAAAATTACTTAGATTTGTTTGATACATATATATGCAGTGGGTTAAAAAAGAAACTCTCTCTCTCTCTCTCTCTCTCTCTCTCTCTCTCTCTCTCTCTCTCTGACAAAAAATCATAACATGCATGTAAAAATGAGTGTTGATCCAAAAGTTCGTGGAATTTCCTTCTCAAATTTTATCATGATAAGACAATCACAAGCAGTTCACATAACTATAAAAAAAAGAGCCAGTATACCATGCAACTGAATAAAAAAAATCAGAAAGTTCTGATTACTTTTAAAGTCGCACAAGCTTCCTTAGAACGGGTACTTTTAAAATGCGGGAGAGATTTTAACGTAACGTAAAGGTAGATTCCTTGGTTTAAACGTAGTATATGAATTAAATTTTCTCAAGATGGTTTCTGCCTATTTTTAGGTATTTCTTCTGTCGTTTCACTCACGCAAAAGAGTCTTTGTACCAGTTAGTACCAAACAACGAAAAATTTCTATATGCTGCTCGAAGATCTTCAATAGTCTGAACCCATAAATCTCTAAGATTTTTTTTAAACTTCGGGGAAAAAAGGGTAGTCCATGGGTGCGAGGTAGGGGTTGTAAGGG